GTTTTTCAACATTTCTGTCATCTTCTACAGGCTCTTGAGCCTCTTCATCGCTAACTTCTATCTTCAAATTAATCTTCTCATCAATCTGTGCGTTTGATTCTTCTTCCACATTCTCTCCTTCCTCTTCTTCGACCCCACCATCTACTACCTCTTCCCCTTCTTCCAGTGCAAGTTCGTGTCTTGTGGGTTCTTCACGGCTTCCATCAACTTTAACTTCTTCTGGTTCTTCTTGGGGGAGGTGGGCAGCTTCTATGGGGAATGTTGATAGTTTTTCCTCTGTTTCACAACTTGATTCAGGGAAGTTTAATTCCGATGAAGAAGATGATAAGGGCGAAACAATTTCTTCTAGATCTGATGAAATCAGGCCATTTGTTTCGAGTCTTTCGAACATATTTTCTGCATCGTTTTTAATCTCAATCTCATCGACTTCTTTCTCTTCTGGATTCAATTGAGTTATTTCATTCTCAGTTAACAGAACTTCCACACCCATGGATGTTTCTTCCATTCTAAGGTGGTGGTCCTCTTCATGCTCAACAGATGAAGAGGAAGATACATTGTGTTCAGTCACTTCTTTCGCGCATCCATTTGACAGCACTTCAGATCTGAGCATTTCTTCTTCTCCTTCTTCTTCACCATGGCCGGCGACTTCTTCTTCACCCTCATTGTCTTCTTCGTCTTTAATATCGGAGTTTTCCCAAAACCGATTGGTGAGAGCGGCCATTTTCATAGGATCAGATCGACACCTCATCAAAAGCAGAGCATTCTTGGGCGGGATGCAAATACTCACTCTCCCCTTCTCATTGTCACCTCCACTTTCTTCATCACCTTTCTGAACTTGAAAAAAAGATTCATCTTTTAGGTCAATACCTTCAAAGACGTGCCGCCGCCTCCTTGTTGAACCCAGCATTGAAGCATTACTTTCTCTGCCTTCCTCCTCCTCTTCCTCTTCCTCTCTGTGGTCTCTATCCCCGGCCACCACCAGCTGAATCTCCCGGCTTCTGCCCTTTCCTCCTTCCTCTCCATCCTGCAAAGCCACCAGCCATCTCGCGAACACCGCCCCACACGATCCATGATGTGTCCCATTGTGGTCAACCCCGCCCTCCTTAGATCCGTTTTCTTTTCCTTCTTTTCCCCTTTCATTGTTAGCTGAGAAACACGAAGACCGGCATGGGAACAAGCAGCTAAACTCCGCACCAAAAGCTCGGAGAGCTTCGCAAATCGTCAATGGCAAATGAACCCACCTCTGGTTCCTGTGAGGAACGCATTCCTGATAATGGACGCTTGAACTCCTCTGCAGGCAGGGGGGGTGAGAGGATAACCTATCGTTCCCGGCGTCGTCTTCCTCCGCGGCAGAACCCGGTCGATCTAATCTTTTCCTGAAACTCAGATCACCATTTCGTCTGTTGGACAAGCTTCTGCTGCTCCCACCGCCGGCGTGCTTCACTTTCTTCTTGGTCTTGACCCGGACCTGGCCAATGCAAGTCACCTTGGGAGAAGATGGCTCGGGATTCTCGAAAGCAGAGCCGCCGCGCTTCTTGGGGAACATCGGGGAAGCCTGGCCGGCCTTGATGCTGCCGTTGTTCCGCAGCCGCCGGCTGAGAGAATTGGAGAGAGAGACGGAGGGGTCGCGAGACCGGCCCGGACTGAGTATAGATTTGGAGAGCTTCATGGAAGAAGATGAACGAGAGGCGAAGCAAACGAGGAGCTCACCAGTATTGTTACTTATGCTGGGAGTTCTGTGGTGGGGAGGGGGTCTGTTATCCAGGTCCATAACCCTAAAATTTAATAACCTTACCTTGGATTTACACCCTCCTGGCTCAAATGCTGCCCATCAAGTGTTTGATTGAGGGTGTGAGAGAGAGAGACTGTGTAAATGGTGAGATACAAGTTGGGGTTCTGAAGTTTGTGGGGTTTGGGGGTTGCAGAGCTTTGAGAGAGGGTTGTGCTGGTGTGTGTGATAGAGAGATTGCAGGGAGGGTGGGACCGGAAGGGAAGGGTGGTGAATGGGAAGATGAAGACGGTATGCTGTTTGTCTGTAGCTCAACGTTCATTTACCTGCTCCTCCCCGTTCTGAGAAAGCTGTAAATCACGGTAAATGGGTTACTGTGCAATTTGTCCCCTTTATTTTCCGGCCCAATTATAATTTTGGGACCGCACCGCATGTATTACAAAGCTTTCTTTTGTTGTAAAGTTTGCCAATATTTTATGAAAAAATGATTAAAATGGTACATCAATTTTTTCAAGTGGAGTAAATACTATGAGTACTACATTTGAAACTATCAAATACGTGAACTTGCACTTTTAAACTTGATTAAGTATATTTGCTCTGTGAAAGTTAAAACAACGACGTGGCCAAAATATCAGTTTGTAATATATGCGTGTAGTCAAAGTCATCAAATAATTAATCTATAAACTCTAATTTCATCTGATCCACTCATTTTTACCTTCGTTCCTCATCTTATATTTTTCTCGTCTGCTCTTGAAGGGTGGAGTCAGGCCACTGGGCCGGACAAGACCAACACAAAGAATATTTTTGGAAAAAAAAATTATACATAAGTTTTTCTTTAAAATTAAAGCATTTTTTTTATTTGGGGTGGACCATGACCTAGGTTGACCCCCCCACTAGCTCCGCCCTTGCTGCTCTTCTTCTCTCTTGGCTGCCCTCCCTGTTATCTTGGCAGCTTCGTCTTTTATTTGCTATCAGTCTTTTTTTTTAAAATAAATCAGTCCTTTTTATTATAGCTAGGGAAGAAGAAAATAAAATAGAGCAAAAAGATGACGACAGGATAACGAGGAGAGCATACGGGAGAAGTATAAGATATAGTGCAGAGAGAAAAGAGAGCAGAAAAGAAAAATATAAGATGATGAGTGAAGGTGAAAAAGAGTGGACGAGAGAAAAATAGAGTATAGATTAATTATATATTTGATGAATTTTATTGCCAATGTATAACACAAGCGGATAGTTTGGACATATTAGCTACTTTGACATTCTGACAGAGCAGATGTACTTGATCGACTATAAAAATACAAGTTCATGTACTTTAAAATTTCAAATGCAATATGAAGTACTATTTACTCCCGTTGAAAAAACTCCATGTACCATTTTGCGTATTTTCTCATTTTTTTATTATCTCTCTAATTTTTTCACTTTTTTGTTTAACTAAAGAATTTATTGTTCATGTTAATTCTCTCTTATTTGCAATTCAGACAATCTTTAATCACAAATTTTTTTATTTTATTAATCTGGGTGTGGTTAAACTTGGTCAGGTTTAAAGGGACAGAGGAAATAATTTATTATTATAATATCACTTCAACATAAAAAATATTGAATAATACTCTCTTTGTCCCTGAATTATTTTCCAAATTTCATTTTTCATCTATCCAAGAGCAATCTTTTCATTTCTCCATTTCAAAACGAATTTGTGGTTCGTAATATTTCTTACATATTATTACATATTTTCACCCGTCTGCCCAACTTTCTATTACACAGATCCCCAACTATCATAATCTCATGTCAAATGTACTTTGGAAGATAGTATAGTGACAAAAAGAATATCCAAACCAATCAACTTCTTTTCATGGCCTAAACATTATCTTTATGTAAAATTCAAAATCTCTACTTTAAATGCACTCAAACACTCACAAGCACTCTACGTGCACTCACACACACTACTAATCTACTATATAAGGAGCAATGCATGTGTATATGCATGTATGCGCACACACATCGACAACTAAAAATACACACATACTCACACTTTTTTTTAATATTTACTCAATCACACGTTCACACTCACGTTAAAAAACTATGTATTAGTGTTATTGTTGAGGTTTATTCTTGTTGGTTCAAGAATCCAACACTTTCTCTAGGGATTCCGTTGGATATTTTGATGGGTTGATTGTATTTTGTGAGTTAGTTAATAATTCAAAGGAACAAGTACTCAGCAAGAAGGAAGAAAGATAGTCAGTGGGCAAGCATTAGAGAACAATTACAGCACACACTTGACCAAAGGTCAAAGGTCTATTCTAAGTCGTGATTACAGAAAAACAGAGAGCTAAAGCTAATAGTACAAGTTAATTGTCAACCCCTAACAATGAAATAAATGCTACTATTTATACTATCATAGAGTATGTGGTAATGATGATGTGGAGGATCATTAGTGATTAATCTCCCTCCCACCAAATGTTGCATATCCTGTGCATTCAATGCGTTTTCCTAAAATATTACTAATAAAATATACTACGTATATGAACATAAATGTGACTATAAGTCACCATGAATAAATTTTATAGTCACTACAATATAACATTTGAATAAAATTATAAACACTAAAGTTACTAGAGTCACATCTTTGTCCACACTAAAAGACACTTCTTATACTATGATTTTGGTATTCTTGTAGTTACTATTTTAGAAATCTCATAATTTAAATTTAATACTTGATATAAATTAGAACAACCAATCAAATTTAATCTAATCATCCAATACACCTGTACAAAACTATTAGCAATTACATAAATTAAAGCAAGCTAGAGTAATGTTTCACAATATTTGGACTTTACACTCAAATGTGAATTTTATGAATGTTTTTTTTGAAAGAGAATAGCCGATTATTTGAATAGTGTTTCAAAGTATTAGAGAGAATAAGTGTCAAATACTAATGTACTACTATTCATATACATTTAATATATTAAATAATAAATACATAAACTATTACAATATATACGTTAATTGTGCGGGTCGGGTAATGTTGCGGGTAACCGTATCTAAATTAAATCGGACGGGTAACAGGACGGGTAGGTATAAACCCATAACCGCCCCATTAACCATTTACATAAATTGCGTATTCCCCATCGGGTCGGGTTAAATTACGATCCCTAATTGAAGGGGGGCAAACAGACTAGTAATAAGGAAGATAAAGTAAAAAAGAAGCTGAATATTAAAAATGAGCAATTGATGGGCTAAAGATTATCAGTGCGAAAGATTTTGACAATGTCTATAAGTGCAAAATTTCAAAAAAATAACTTTGTAGTTCAATTTCACGGAAGGAACACATTATCACCAACATTCATACAATTAGAGATAACATTTATTACATTGAATACATAAGGATTACATTATAATATATGTAGCAAAAGATTAAAAGCATGATTTCCCCTTTATTAAAGTAAATATCGATATATAAAAATAAAACTGTTTGCATCACACGGGTATCACAATAGTAATTATAACCCCGAATTAGAAATTTCAATATTCAATCAAATTTATTTGTGTCGTAAAATAGTGCCGCATTCATAATGTCATCCAAGTATAATTTTATTTGAAAAACTAGCGTAATCTAAAGGAATAGGTTCGAAAAATATAGACTTCACCCCATGTTCATCTCCATGTTGATATATGTACTGAGCCACTTTTGCAACATTTGTTGAGAATTCAATGAATATTTTTGAGAAGGCCGGGTTATCTTCAAATCCAATCTTATTCATTTTCTTCCATGCCTCATTTATTTGAGAGTTTATGTTATCTTGAGCGTCGCTGATAGAGACTTTAGCACTATTCATGTAACACTCCACAGCTTTTGGTGTATCGCCTCTTTTCATTTCGTTCTGAAATTATATAAGAAACAAAAACTTCAAATAATAACATATCCATGTACCTTTCAAAAAAAAAACATATCCATGTAAAACCCAACTATATCTATTCAAGAATTTAAATATGCACTTACAAGAGATGTTGCTTTGTCATTTGTTAAGCGGAGAATCAAAGATGTGAAACGAACAATGTCATGATGATGCTGTGAGAGGCAGCGTAAGGCTTCTTCATTCAAAGGGTTGTTGGCCCAAATGAAAAGATGAACTATTTCCAGAGGAACTGCTGTTGAAAGGCATGCATTTTCAATGTATTCTTCGTATGATGGCGTGTACCCACTATGGAACCATTTTGCCTCTTGTAAGTGTGATTTGCAAAGATCCACCCACTGAATACATTGAAAGTTGAATTTATAGTGGTGTCATTATCATAGTTATTTGGGGGGATCCTCGAAATAAAAGTAAAAAAAATTCAAATTCTAAAAATAGGCCGGTTTGTCAAACTTGAAAACACTGTCATGCTTAAAATCTGATAATGCTAAAACATGATAATAATTATTCACATCTAGAGAATAAAAACACTACATTCCTGATTTAATTTGAAATTCACAAACATTTTTACTCATATTTAGGACAAAAAATTTTAATAGAGTAAATTAACATATGATGCAATGAGTAGTTACCAATGTTCTAAAAGGCGATAGACGCTAGTCGGGCGCCAACCCAGTGCCTAGCGCCTAGGCGGCTAGGCGGGCACCTAGGCGGGGACTAGTCGGAGACATAGAAATTGCATTTTTATCTATATTTTTGCATAAATATGATAAGTAATTTTGTATCTTTGTGTGTATAAAATACATATATATACATATACATTAACAAACATGAATGATATAATTCTCACATTTAATCATACGTAGTACGGAGTATATGATAACTAATCACTTAACTTCATTATGTTATAAATATAAATAATGATAAAATTTAGGTATATATACAAACGTATATGGTTCTATCTTTATTTACAACTTCATTTCTTTATATCCATGACTAAAGTTAAAGTATGTATATCGCTTAGAAAATTAAAATTAAAAAGTGAAGTAATTTTGACAAATTAGACGCCCTAGGCGGCCGATTAGGCGCTCTAGGCAGGCAAGTGGGCACCATAGGCGGGCGACTAATTCACCTAGAAGGCAAACCAATTAGTCGGAGCGCCTAGACGAAAATCGGGCGCCCGACCACTGCCTAGCGCCTAGGCGGGCGCCTAGAATGATTTTTAGAAGAGAGGTAGTATTTAACTTGCCGCTTTTCTTATATAACGGGAGACAAGAATGCCCTGTTTTTTGCCGGCATCATATGCCACTTCATTTACATGGTTGTGGAGTGCAGAATAAAATGGCTTCATATAATCGGGAAGATGTCCAATTTCTGTTATGTCGCTCCATCTGAATTGGTTAAAGAGATTAAGGAGTATATCATCATCCACACTAATCAAATAAATTATAAAAGTACGTGAATACAATGCTAGATATTGCTAGTCAACGATCTCTATTATACGATAGTATTTAACAAAACTTTATAGCCTCATATGGCTCAGTCATATGAAGTATTGCGAGACCATTTATACCATTCAATTCTATATGAAGTCCCCACTTAAAAATTGAATGGTAAAGATGGGTGTCACAATGACCCATATGACTCCATAAGAGAGTTATATAGGGCTCCATAAATTTACTCGGTGCTAATTTCTTCACCAAACACGTAATTTTGATTTTACGCGCTGAGTTGTATAGTAATCAAAATAAATAAGATTGAAGATACTTTTCAGATTGAATTGGTTGAAGTTACCGTGATAGATATTTTAGCTTTTTTTCATAATTTTTTTTCTTTATTTTGTTAATAAAATATATTTTAAACATAATTTTTTTGTAAATCGACTAAATCTGTCTATGGAACCAATTCAACCAGAATTTTATTAATTTCAACCGAATAAACCTATTTAGTCAATTTGAATATCACTAACGAGGCTCACTAACTCATAACGTGACACTACAAGGTAACTAGTATGCGCACGTTTTCGTCACACAACCTCACAATTGTGTACACCATGCATTTTCGTCATATATGGAGATTGAAAAAGCTTAAATACTCCGTACTTTATCAAAACTCGAATTGCACATAAAAGATCAAATTAAACATAGATGAGGAAAAATCTTAGATGTACATTATATTGTTTGGTAGGAATATGTTCAATCTTTTAGCTTTTATACTAAAACTATTCCTATTTAAAAACTCACTAAAATTCTATTTATATGTTTGGTGGAATAATTTTTAAGAACTTTTATCAAAATGAAAAGAGTTACTTACCTAGGAGTAAAAGATAGCTAGTCCTCAATCACAAATGTGACTACATTTTTTTATTCACTAGTAAGACTAATTATGTGTGTTTAGACAAATATACCCTTATAGCTTTCGAAATGTTTTAATTCATTATAAATCATAAAAGATAATAAAAAATCGTACAAAAATAATAAAAAATTAATAATTTTTTAAAACAAAAATTTTAATTTTTACATAAAAATAAAAGAAAAATGAAAAAAATCACCGCCGTCTCTGCCACCCCAGCACCGCCACCTCCAGTTACCGAAAAATACCACATGCATTAGTAATACGATATTAATGGCAGTTTCAATGAAAATTCTGGTATTATCAAAGAGTAATATGTCATTTTTTGGCATATTCAGAAAAATGGCATTTTTTTACATAGAAAGAAAAGCTTTTACATTTGTTGGAGGTGGTGGTGTGGGTGAGTAGTAGAAGCGGTTGGAAAGGCATCCATTTTTTTAATTTTTGACTATTTTTACTATTTTTACTTATTTTTGAATTTTTTATTTTTATTATTTTTAATATTTTTATTTCATAAATATTTTTTATTTTTAATATTTTAATATTTTTATTTCATAAATATTTTTTTTATTATTTTTCTATGTTTTTAATATTTCTTATGATTTTATTATGAATTGAAACATTTATTAATACACTTAAGAGTATATAGGGTACAAAATTAATGGTTAATCCTATTTGTGAATGATTTAGGGGTGTAGTCATATTTATGATTTTTAGCCTAGTTTTAGTCCTATTTAAGACAATAACTAAAATAAAAAATCTTTTTTGAAAAACTAAACTGAGTAACACTTGACAAAAGTATGTAGTTTTAGTACTACGTATCAATAAGTCAAAGGAGCCTGTGTACTCAAGCTAAACCACCAAATAGAACTAAATAAAATATTCAACTTCTATTCAAATAGCTAGTATTTTTTTTTTCTTTTTAAGACTTTTCGGTCACAAAAAGACAACAATTACTAATAAACTTTAAAAGTATCTTTTCAGCTAGTTGTGCCAAACATACCCTTGTGTATTTACTTATGTCTATATGTGACTCAAAGTGTGACACCATTTTGAATACGAGAATGCATTTTCATTTAAGATGATTTTAATTGGATTGATTTCAGTCTTAGTCCAAATCAAATAAGATTAGACCAAACTTAAAAAGAGAAAAAAATCCATATATGGGATCACAATTGTTGGGATAATAGACCAGGCCCAGTGCCATCGGCCCGTTATCCCCGAGCTTTGGCCCAACTAGGCCCAAGACACAGTCTCACGAGCGGAAATAGCCCATTGCTCATTTACTTATTTATCGGGCCAGTTCGCCCATTAGCTTGGACATGTATTATGTATTTGGGCCAAGCCCACGTAGGTTAGGCTTTGAACTTGTGATGGATGCCTATAAATAGGCCATCGCCCCCCATGTATTCGGGACGCTTTTTCTACTATCCTAAAATGCTGCTAGTTTCTCTACCCGGATTATTTTCTACCAACAACAATAAACCTCGACATTTATGAAATACACATATAACAACATCTATGACACCAAACTAAAACATAAAATTTCAGTCCAATTAAAAACACTTTTATGACTGTAATCGTGTAGATTGACCTAATCATCATATAGCGTGGGTTGACCAAAACACATCTAAAGTCTACATCCTTCTCACTAATATTGGAGACATGAGGAGATCATGCGGTTATTAAGAAAATAGGTTTATGCGATTGGAATTAAATTGATGAAGTAAAAATAAAATATGAATAATTTAGAACCATACAATTTTACCAAATTGGAAATGAAACAATTTTAGGGCTGGTTTGCAACAGTTTTAAAAAAAACACTTCTCAGTTTTTGGCTTAAAAAGCACTTACTTACCAAACACTATCAATTTTTTACTTTTCTCGGCTTTCGTGTCAAAAGTGCTTTTGCCCTTTTTATACACCAAAAGCACTAATTTTACCAAATACTACCAACTTTTACTTTTCAAAATCACTTTTTTCTCAAACACTATCAACTTTTACAATTAATCACTTTTCCAAATCACTCCAAAAGTGCTTTTTTTAAGCAGAAGCTGTTGCAAACACTCCCTTAATGGAACAGATTGATATTACAATTCTCGAAACGAATATATAAGATAAATATATTTTTACTTCATCAATTTAATTCCTAATATTTTACTTTTGTTCTGAATCAAGTAAGTATTTTGTTTGGAACGTGGTTA